GTAGAGATGGGGTTTCACCATGTTGGCCAGGCTGGTCTTGAACTCCTGACCTCAGGTGATCCGCCACCTCAGCCTCCCAAAGTGCTGGGATTACAGGCATGAACCACTAAGCCCGGCCTCGCCAGTCACAGTTTTAAAATTTTCATCTTTTAAACAAATACCTGAAAACAGATTTTTGGCTTTAAAAAAATTCAATGTTTTATTTCCATTAGCACTTCCCTAGGCACAATTTCAAGATACACATAAAATGTGTGATTAAAATGAGAGATAAATCACAGAACAAAAAAAAATCATGATATAAAAATACAACTACAGGAATAATATACTATTTTCCCTCATGTTGCTGCCAGACAATTCTGGCTGTATTCAGAGTAAGAGCTTAGTCTGCAACTTTAGAAACAAAGTTATTTGTTAACCTCCATTTGTAAAGGCATTTAACTTCATATTCAATCCAAATTTTCAGGTAATGAAGCATCCTTGAATCTAATCTAATCCCTATTCCAAAAGAAAGTAAACCTACAAATTTTAGCGCACATGATGTAGCTACTGATTTCCTCTTTAAACAAATGAGAAAAATTGCTTTAATAAAACAAATACTTAACGTAAACATTATCCGTCTCAGAGACACACGTCTTTCTCCAGTTATTACTTTAGTCTGTAACTAAAAACTGTGTATCTATGACCTGTTTTAACACAATAATCTCCTAATGGTATGACTGCCTCTAGAATCCTACCCCTCCAATCCAACTTTCACGCTGCAGCTTAAGACCATCTCTAAAACGTGAACCTGATAATATTACTCTTCTGCTTAAAATTCTATCCATTGCCGATTATTTACTCTGACATAGGAGGTTCGCTATAATGTGACCTTGCTCTCTAGTCTCATATACTCTTGCTCAGTGCCGTATACCCAAATACATGTAGAACCCAGTTTTACAGTCTATGCCTTTTTAAGTGATATTTACCATGCATCCCTCCTCAACCTTGTCTTCTAAACCACAAATGAAACCATCTTCTTTATGATTTTCTAGCTTCCTGGAAAACAAACCACTCCTCATTTGCACCCTCACTATTATTTTGTACATTATTCCAACAAAGAAATATTGTATATTAGCTAAGGATATAAATTAAACAGGCTGGGTTCTAACTCTAGGATTCACTAGAATTATGAGTCTAAGCAAGTTACTTACTGTGCTTCAGAAAGCTAAAGCTTAGAAAAGATAACAGATCATACCATATATCTCTCAGGGCTTTTGTGAAGATTAAGTGAAACAATACACATGAAGCACTTAGCAAAGTGCTTAACATATTGTTAACACCCCATAAATGGTAGCTAAAAAGGAAAACAAATGCTCATAAAGTTATGTTGAACTTATTTTAAAAAAAATATTTATTTTACTTTAGATTGTAAACTTCTTACAGACACTTTATTTATCTTTGTATCCTAAGGGTATAGCATAATTCTTGACACTAAGAAGACACTCAATAAGTTTTAAGCAAATGGGTGACTAAACACCTCCGATAAATGAGTACAAAAAATAAAAAACTTGACTATTTTTAAATCCTCTGGAGCAGCTTTTCCCAAACTAGTATTTGTTAATAACTAAGTTAAAATAACAAAACATGTTCTAAGCTGAAATAGCTGGTGAAACAGTAGGACAAAACAAAAGTAAACTGGTTTCTTTATAGCGGAATTTTAAAAATGTATCATTAACCTCCAAGAGGGATATAAAGAATGCAACAGGGCTGCATTGTAATGTGGCTCACACCTGTAATCCTAGCACTTTGGGAGTCCAAGGCAGGCGGATCACCTGAGGTCAGGAGTTCGAGACTAGCCTGGCCAACATGGTGAAACCTCGTCTCTACTAAAAATACAAAAAATTAGCCAGGCGTGGTGGTGCCTGTAATCCCAGCTATTCGAGAGGCTGAGGCCGGTGAATTGCTTAAACCTGGGAGGCAGAGGTTGCAGTGAGTCAAGATTGCGCCACTGCACTCTAGCCTGGGTGAGAGAGTGAGACTCCATCTTAAAAAAAAAAAAAAAAAAGTTGGCTGTCACACATCCAGAACTTGCCACTAAATATATTGTTTGGATTATATGCAATTATTTCTTAGCTATCTATGCTATATAGTGGAGAATGAAAATAGGTGTAAGATACAATTCTTGCCAAGAAATAACATAAGATACAGTAAACAAACATGTATCTTCGGGAAAAGAAGTTATACAAAGCAAACAAAAATATAAGACTCAAGAGATATTATAACCAATGCAACGCATAAACTTTGACTGGATCCAGGATTCATTTCTAAAAGGCTATAAAAATATTTTTGGAAAAATTTGAATACAGAGTATACATTAGATGAATTATGGGCCATTTTCTTAGGTAGGTAGATGAATATGTAGAAATATACAGGGATGAAATGTCTTGATAGCTATGTCAATTTGTTTTCACAAATGATTTCAGACAAAGTCAGCAAGTACAGTAAAACGTTAGTAATTGGTTAATTTAGGTGAAGAGTATATAGGATATCACTTTACCATTCTTTTGACTCCTCTCTAGGTTTGAAATGTATCACAGCAAAAAGAAGGGAGAAAATAAAACTAATAAGCAAATTTTATTAGATCAGATACAAAAAATAAATATTTAAAAGTATGGCCAGACATGGTGGCTCATTCCTTTAATCCCAACACTTTGGGAGGCTGGGGTGGAAGAACTGCTTGAGCCCAGGAGTTCAAGACTAGCCTGGGCAACAGAGTAACACCCTGTCTCTATAAAAAATACAAAAAAAAAAAAAAAAAGGCTCAGCATGGTGGCACATGCCTGTAGTCCTAGCTACTCAGGAGGCTGAGGGCGCAAGGACTGCTTAAGCTCAGGAGTTCAAGACCACAGTGAGCCATGATCCCACCACTTTTTTGGAGAACTTGTCTCCAAAAAAACAATGTTGGGTGGTAGGGTAGAAAAAAGTCCTTTTCCCTTTTACTTATCTAATAAAAGCAACCGAGGTCAGCAAGGACTGAGGGAAAAAAGACAAAAGAATTGTGAGAGATAAAAGAACCGGGAGGAAGAAAAGAGGTAGTAAAAACATT